ATATTGTGACATGTCTAACTGTTGCTGGGCAATGGGAGGTGGAACGAGTTACCATGGAGACAGACCCTTGATAAGCAGTCGGTTGCCAAGTTACGCAACAGTAAGGAAAGCGGTGTTTCTCCGTGCCATGCCGAGCCAAAGCACGCTGGTTGCTACGCAGCAATAAACAACTCTCGGCAGCATTGCACAGAAACGCCTGTAAACATGGCGTTTACGCAACAGTGAAGCGAGGTGGGTTTTCCACTGTAGCAGATAGCAGTAACCGTAAATCTGTAATTTGGGTGATTGTGAGAGCGGATGTGAAATAAAATTCGCTACATCGAATACATCGAGAATTTATTTGTCGCGATATACGCCCGATACGCGACAATATATATATATATATACACACATATTGTGACATGTCTAACTGTTGCTGGGCAATGGGAGGTGGAACGAGTTACCATGGAGACAGACCCTTGATAAGCAGTCGGTTGCCAAGTTACGCAACAGTAAGGAAAGCGGTGTTTCTCCGTGCCATGCCGAGCCAAAGCACGCTGGTTGCTACGCAGCAATAAACAACTCTCGGCAGCATTGCACAGAAACGCCTGTAAACATGGCGTTTACGCAACAGTGAAGCGAGGTGGGTTTTCCACTGTCTGACTGAGGGTTTATAAGGGAGACTGGAATGCCTAGTTAGTTAGTTAGTTATTAGAGAGGGTGGGTTTCCCCATGCACTTAGACCTGTAGTGGTCCATTGAGCTTCCCTCTATGATTTCTACCAGCCTCTATATCCTACCGGTATTGGTGCTTACCATCAGTTCCGCCCAGCCAGTGAGACCGGCTCTACTGGCTGAGTAGTATCTATAATGCTTCCCCCATCTACCAGAGGTATTAGTGACTGCNTACTTCCAATCACTCAACACAACTCAATAACAACTCGTAGCTGCTGGACTTCAATTCATACTGAATGCTCATACTCAATACTAGTAACTCTCTCTGGTTCTACACTGATGAATACTCCTCGTTATGTAGCGTCTGCACTGAGAACACAGAAAACAGTTACGTGACAGATACCACTGTTGCGTGACATTGTGTTTACCGCGTGCCAAGCAACAGTCGCTGCACGGCCTCCCTTGTTGCGTGATGTCACAGCCTAGTGGGGAGGGGTGTTTACCAAGTTTTGCATAGTTACGGGATGAGTGGGGTATGTGACGTCACTCGCACTTCCTGTTGCACAATCGAAGCATTCACAGAGTTGTCACCTAGCAACGTGGTGATACAATCCGCAACTCTCACGGTGGCGCATGCCCCGAGGCCTCTGTGGCTCAACAGTTCCTCCATAGAGTCAATACACCAGAATATTATACAAATCAAGTTATAAATCTCACCTCCGAGGTATGTGTACAACATCAAGGCCACAGGTAGAAGACTGAAGACAGTATGTTTCTGGTTCAAATGTCGGTTTGGTCACTGTCTGTGACACATACAAGTCAGCATCACCCAACCTATCAATATGAGACAATGAAAAGCATTATTGTACCAAATGTACTAGTTGTGACACACTGCTTTTAAATTCTGCAAAACTGTGAACATAAAAGAACAAAATGACACACAAGAACAAAGCTGGTGTAACTTGTCACAATGTGTAGAGAATCTTTTGATAATAGTCTGAACATAATTTGTTCAGTTATTCTAGTATTAATATTAACATGCAAATCGACCTTGAACTTGGCACCATGTGATTCTCATGAATAGCCAAATGGCTACTGCACTTTCACTATACAAAGAGTTTCTCCATTTCTGTACAAGGTTAATTTTATGCAGTTAGATCAACTTACTCTGAATAAAGGGACAGTACGATGGGGCCTTCATACATTAAGCTGTAGTAAGTGTAGTTACCACGGCCCACCTCCCCAGCCACAGAATGTAGTAACTGTTCACCAGATGTCACCACCAAAAGAACAGAGAGGCACCAACATAAACAAATTGCTTTTCCCATCCTAGTCTCAAAACAAGACTGTCCATACAATGCACTGCCATCACCTGCAATGCCAACCAAAAGTGAAGGGATATTGTTGTAATACAGTATAATTTGTACTACAATTTGAAAAATTAATTTGCTACACAAACATATCCAGCTTCATTTTAATAAAGAAGAGCCATGTTATGGCCTCACACCTTTCAAAATAAATCTCAGTGTTGCCTAATATACCATAACAGTCCTAATTAATAAAGAAATGGCATTACCAAAACACCAGTAACAAGTCTGTCACCATAAGTATGAAACGAATTGTAGCAAACTAGAAGAGAACATTAAGAAACATTAATTTCATCACCAATGTTTAGCAAGGACCATACCATCTGTTATTATAAACATTAACTTCCAAACACTGGGGATGCAAACATTAATAAATAAAAATAAACAGGTAATATATATATATTGTGACATGTTGCGCAAAGCCGAGCCCCCCCCACACCAGCAGTGACGCGGCGGGTGAGTCAGCGCTCCCCTCCCACCCCTCAGCGGTAACGTAACGCTCGCATAATAGGCGAGTAATCACCCCGCATCCTGGCAGCCATGCGCGGTGACGTCACGAGCGGAGCCGAAGATAGCCGAGCCCCGTAACCGGGTAACTATGCAAGGCGAATCAACAGCGGTGACGTAACCGGACAGCGTGGCTAGCAACAAGGGTGCCTATTACGTGGCCGTATTGTCCGATCGAGGCTACATAGGGAGCAGCGAAGGCTATTCACAGTCAGTTGTACGGAGTCAGTCAGCGAGTCCTGGACCTACCGCCGAGTTAGCCAGCAACCAGTCAGTTGTACTGTGGCATTTGGAGTGTACTAATTGTGATACTGCAGATAGCAGTAACCGTAAATCTGTAATTTGGGTGATTGTGAGAGCGGATGTGAAATAAAATTCGCTACATCGAATACATCGAGAATTTATTTGTCGCGATATACGCCCGATACGCGACAATATATATATATATATTGTGACATGTCTAACTGTTGCTGGGCAATGGGAGGTGGAACGAGTTACCATGGAGACAGACCCTTGATAAGCAGTCGGTTGCCAAGTTACGCAACAGTAAGGAAAGCGGTGTTTCTCCGTGCCATGCCGAGCCAAAGCACGCTGGTTGCTACGCAGCAATAAACAACTCTCGGCAGCATTGCACAGAAACGCCTGTAAACATGGCGTTTACGCAACAGTGAAGCGAGGTGGGTTTTCCACTGTAGCAGATAGCAGTAACCGTAAATCTGTAATTTGGGTGATTGTGAGAGCGGATGTGAAATAAAATTCGCTACATCGAATACATCGAGAATTTATTTGTCGCGATATACGCCCGATACGCGACAATATATATATATATATACACACATATTGTGACATGTCTAACTGTTGCTGGGCAATGGGAGGTGGAACGAGTTACCATGGAGACAGACCCTTGATAAGCAGTCGGTTGCCAAGTTACGCAACAGTAAGGAAAGCGGTGTTTCTCCGTGCCATGCCGAGCCAAAGCACGCTGGTTGCTACGCAGCAATAAACAACTCTCGGCAGCATTGCACAGAAACGCCTGTAAACATGGCGTTTACGCAACAGTGAAGCGAGGTGGGTTTTCCACTGTAGCAGATAGCAGTAACCGTAAATCTGTAATTTGGGTGATTGTGAGAGCGGATGTGAAATAAAATTCGCTACATCGAATACATCGAGAATTTATTTGTCGCGATATACGCCCGATACGCGACAATATATATATATATATACACACATATTGTGACATGTCTAACTGTTGCTGGGCAATGGGAGGTGGAACGAGTTACCATGGAGACAGACCCTTGATAAGCAGTCGGTTGCCAAGTTACGCAACAGTAAGGAAAGCGGTGTTTCTCCGTGCCATGCCGAGCCAAAGCACGCTGGTTGCTACGCAGCAATAAACAACTCTCGGCAGCATTGCACAGAAACGCCTGTAAACATGGCGTTTACGCAACAGTGAAGCGAGGTGGGTTTTCCACTGTAGCAGATAGCAGTAACCGTAAATCTGTAATTTGGGTGATTGTGAGAGCGGATGTGAAATAAAATTCGCTACATCGAATACATCGAGAATTTATTTGTCGCGATATACGCCCGATACGCGACAATATATATATATATATACACACATATTGTGACATGTCTAACTGTTGCTGGGCAATGGGAGGTGGAACGAGTTACCATGGAGACAGACCCTTGATAAGCAGTCGGTTGCCAAGTTACGCAACAGTAAGGAAAGCGGTGTTTCTCCGTGCCATGCCGAGCCAAAGCACGCTGGTTGCTACGCAGCAATAAACAACTCTCGGCAGCATTGCACAGAAACGCCTGTAAACATGGCGTTTACGCAACAGTGAAGCGAGGTGGGTTTTCCACTGTCTGACTGAGGGTTTATAAGGGAGACTGGAATGCCTAGTTAGTTAGTTAGTTATTAGAGAGGGTGGGTTTCCCCATGCACTTAGACCTGTAGTGGTCCATTGAGCTTCCCTCTATGATTTCTACCAGCCTCTATATCCTACCGGTATTGGTGCTTACCATCAGTTCCGCCCAGCCAGCGAGACCGGCTCTACTGGCTGAGTAGTATCTATAATGCTTCCCCCATCTACCAGAGGTATTAGTGACTGCTGTTGGGCAGCAAACGTCCGCAATTTTGCTCAGTGACCTCCTTTGGAGGTATGAGGTTCTTTTACGTGCCGTAAAGCTACGACACGGGACCCATGGCTTAAAGTCCCTCCCAGAGGACTTGTTCCCTGAATTTTTCCGCCCTTAAAAATTCGACAACCTCCACCAGGTATTTGAACCCGCGTACTACGAGTCATGAGGTGGGAACGTTACCTATAGACTACGGAGGCCGCTGACTGGAATGCCTAAGAGTTAGTTGAAATATAGCAGCAGTCACGGAAAGAAGAACCAAACGTGTGGTTAGAAGATTTATGTGTGCTGATCAGTGACAGTGCGCGATAACTGAGAAGTCAGCCAGTGAAGACTTATTGTGTGACTTCAAAACTTTGTGTGTGCTGTAGTACAGTTATATTGGGAGTGTGTAATTCAGAGAGACTTGTATAGCTCCCATGTTATAAATACGTGAAGACTACTGAAGATAGACTTTGAAGAGAATAGTGTGTAGGGTTTGTAAATTTTGTGAATCCGCAACAGTGTTATAATTAATTGTAGCAATGACTTGTAGGTTGTTAAATAAATCAATTAACAATCCAAATGTTGTCTTCAGTAGCAAAACACGTTACAGTATTTATATTTCTGAATTTAGCAAACAAAACCTTATTAAACGAACAGCATCAGCAACTAACAAATGTGATGAAAGTTATACGTATTGACATGGTGTATGCAAAAAGTACAAAATATTAACATACAGGTTGGGGAAGTCCAATTTGAAATTATGGTTAAAATTCCTAGTTAACATAATTAACATAGTTAACATGCATTCAAGTCTCCCACACATCCTGTGCCTTACTGATCATCACATGAAGCAGCTGGAATTAGAACATTTTCACACAGAAAATTATAATTTAGGAGCTAGATATTGTAGGCAAATGCTAGAGAAAGGAGGAGTGAGTATTTTTGTACATAAAAACGTGAAATTTACTAAAATAAATTTAGAAGATTATTGCAAAGATCAGGATCTAGAAGCCTGTGCTTTAGACTCTACTTTTTCTGATATTTGTGTACTGACTTTATACAGAGCCCCACCTGGGAATTTTGATCAATTCTTAGATAGATTATAAACCATCCTCAATGTAATAGTCCAAAAGTTGAATTTCTAATTTGTGGTCATATAAATGTAAACTATCTCATCGATAGTAATAGGAAACTAAACTTAGATTCTTTGTTATTATCTTACAATCTCTCCAGTACTGTTAACTTCCCACAAGAATTCAAAATAACTCTAGGTCAGCAATAGATAATATATTCATTGATAACTCAAAAATAAGAGACTTTACTGTAGGATCCTTTATAAATGGCTTGTCCGATCATGAGGACCAACTCATAGAAATAAATAATATTAACCTTCAGCCCAATAATCAAGAATATAAAACAATAAGGAAAATCAACAAGCATACTATGGCAGATTTTGTCACAAAATTAAGTAATGAATCTTGGGACACTGTATTTGACAGCAGTGATATTGATTCTAAATTTAATTGCTTTCTGAACACATACTTGAGGATCTTTTATTCAAGTTTTCCTTTAAAAATAGTAAAAAATTATATTAAAAACAAAACCACCTCAATAACTGTTGGAATAAAAACTTCATGTAAACATAAAATCATCTATATTTGGCCAGTAGGGACAGTAATGATCCAAGACTAAAAAGTCATTACAAAATGTACTGTAAAATCTTGTCAAAAGTCATTAAAGAAGCCAAACAGAATTATTATAACAACCAAATTCTAAAATCAAACAATAAAATTAAAACCACCTGGGATATTGTGAAAGTTGAACCGGGAAAGAAAACTGTTAATGAAGATGTACAAAGTTTGAATATTGAAGGAAAGTCTACTAATAATCCACAAGCTATTGCGAGTGCATTTAATGAATATTTCCTCTCATTAGTTGAGAAAACATATCTTAATAATAATCCAATATACTATCTGTCACATTCCTTTAATAGTTCATTTCCAAATATAAATCTCAAATCCTCAACAATAAAGGAAATTGAAAACATTATTAAATCCCTTAAGCCCAAAAATTCACATGGATATGATGAAATTTCTACCAATTTACNAAACAGAATTATTATAACAACCAAATTCTAAAATCAAACAATAAAATTAAAACCACCTGGGATATTGTGAAAGTTGAACCGGGAAAGAAAACTGTTAATGAAGATGTACAAAGTTTGAATATTGAAGGAAAGTCTACTAATAATCCACAAGCTATTGCGAGTGCATTTAATGAATATTTCCTCTCATTAGTTGAGAAAACATATCTTAATAATAATCCAATATACTATCTGTCACATTCCTTTAATAGTTCATTTCCAAATATAAAT